CTAAGTTCCAGGGGACTATGGAGCATCTCTCAAAATGTCCTGTAACTGTAATGAGTCGCCTGTCCTCTTGTCGTGGAGACCCCAGCAGATGGATCTGAACCAGTGTCTAGTCTATGAAGAGGAGGGTCAACACAGAGGAAACATTTCCTCCATGCTTCCAAGCAAAGCCAGCCACGGTTGAGTAGGGAGGAGGACCTTTGACTTATCTTCACATAGATGGACCTGGTAATAGAAAGGAGCCAGGGGCTCCTCCCAAGCCCATGTGACCCCTAAGGAACAGATCCTCAAATGACCTTAAGAGTAAAAATGAATTGGTTTATTTGGGCCAACTGTATGGTCTTAAACACCCAAAAGGAAAGTATAACCAAAAATTAAAGTGATCAGTATTTCTTTAATAGTTCAAAGGATTGAACTTCCCAGATATTAGGCTTAAGTCTCTAACTGCCCCCACTCCTCCATCCATGATGTCACAATCAGGGGCAATACTGGTCTCGCCCCAGTGCTACTTTTCCTTTGCTGCTCCAAGATATATACCTGTATATCCCTACCAGTCAAGGATACCTACATTCCAGTCATTCTCATATCTAGATTAACCCTATATGCCTCAGGAGAGGTGCATGATTCTCTCTCCACAGAAACAGAAAAAAGCAGAGCAAAAAGGTCAGCTACTCTAGCAGTGCTGGTGGGAATCAGCCTGGTATCATCTGTAGCTGCCACAGGATTCATGGCAGGGAGTCTTGGACATACCTTGCTCTCAGCCCAACACCTCTCTCAGGAGATCCAGGACCTCAAGCAGGAACTTACTATAGCAGTAGAAGCAACAGCCCAGTCAATCCAGAGCTTACAACAGCAACTGTCCTCCCTGGCTGAAGTTGCCCTCCAGAACAGGTGAGCCCTGGATCTATTAACTGCAGAAAAGGAAGGTACCTGAGTTTTCCTGGGCAAGGAATGCTGTCAACCAATCAAATAAGGTTAAACACAACATAAAATACCTCCAACAGGTGGCCAAGGATTTCTTACTTAAAACTTCCCAGTGCCAGCAGTCACCCCAATGGGATATCTTTTCAGGACTCACTCCCTGGCTTCTGCCCTTACTTGGGCCCTGCTCTCTATTACTCTGGTGCTAACCATTGCTCCCTGCCTCTTCAGATATTTTCAGGGCTGGATACAACAACTAACTCATACCAGCTTTAACCAACTGTTATTTTCCTTTCCCCCACATGTGTATAGACGTCTGTTGACCACTGAAGACTTTGTCTAGCTGCACGAGCTGGAGACCCCCGCTGCCTGACCGGATCCTGACTCCAGCCTTCCCTTCCCCACATTGACTCTGACCAGCAGGAAGCAGCCATGATGAGAAAACGCCACCCCCTATCCTCTAACACAAAAGGCTGGAATGTTAGAGTCCAGGTCTGCAGAGACCCTCTCCCAGTATAAAAAGCCTCACAAGACAGGCCATGAGGGCCCCCTTGCAAAACAGGAACTGGCCAGACAGCTACATTTAGAGCTGTCTCAGCACAAAGCTGTTCTCCAGATAATTCTGGAAGATAAACAGGTCCCCGCACCCAGACCCACTGATGTAAGAACTGTCTCAGTTCAAGCTACTTCCCTTGAAATGGTAAAGATTATTTTTGCCACTTTCCACATTCCCCAACCCCCTTATAAGAACTTCCTCAGCAGTCAGAAGGCTGCTGGTTGCCTTTCTCTCCCCAGCTGAGCTGCCAGCCACCAGCAATCCAAAGAAATAAACTTTGCTTTACTGGAGTCCTACGTTTCCTGTGGCTATTCCCTGCCCGGCTTTTATCTAACATAGTACTTCTTGGTTGTGCCTTCACATTTCCAGCCCTGCATAAGTCACTGCACCAGGCTTAAATCCAAAACTGATGTGTTCTCAAATCTGATATGCTCACAAATGCCCAAGGTCCATATTACCATCTGACTGCAACATCTTAATTTTCCAGTTCTCGGACTCTCTTAATCCCATGAACTCTGTCCTTCAACACTATTGAAATTTTAGTTCTTTATCGTGAGTCCCTCTTGCTCAGACCTTCATTTCTACACAACTGGACTCTGAAGACGACCACCAAATCGTGGTCTTTCTGTTCTAGCAGGCCTAAAGCGAAGTCGCACACCAGTCGAAAAGTGAAGTCTCTGCCACACGGCTAATCAGTCTCGGCTGGATTCTCACTGCGGCTCTTCAGTTGATTTCTTAGCCTTGGCATCTCTTTTCCAAGACTGGTCTACTCTCCTTTCCAGTCATTCTGGCGGCCTCTTTCTCTCTTCTGTGTCCTATCTCACAGAGGGAAATGGCCCAGTTTGAGGCAGACAACTCTGGTAAAAGTTACAAGCAAACTACTCATTTTTCAGGGGCTGGAGATATGGTTCAGCGGTTAAGAACACTGCCTGCTCTTACAGAGGACCCAGGTTCAATTCCCAGCACCCACATCGAGGCTAGAAACTGTCAGAAACTCCAGTTCCACGGGAATCTGACTCTGCACGCCGCCACAGGTGCACTTACACATATGCAGGCAATACTTTCATACACTCAACACAAAATAACAAATTTTTTTTAAAAAAGAACCGACTCATTTTTCAGCTGTTCCTCTGCTGGCTCCCTTCATCCGCTGGACTCCAGTTCAAATGCTACCTTGTCCAAGACCCCTTCACTGGTCTGCTGGGCAAAGCCATTCTGTGTCCACTATAGCCCATAACCCTGTTTGATTTCCTTATAGGTCATATCACAAATACAGTCTCATTCACCATGCTACCTGTCCTAGTTTGTTTCTTCATTGCTGTGACAAAACACTCTGACCACTACCAACTTGGGGAGGAAAGGGTTTATTTATCTTACATCTCCCAGGTCACATTTCATTAGGGAGCTCAAGGCAGGAACTCAGGGCAGGAACCTGGAGGAAAGAGCTGGAGCACAGCCATGGAGGAACACTGATTACTGACTTGCTCCCCTGGCCCCTACTCAGCCTGCTTTCTTATGTAACACAGGCCCACCTGCCCAGGGGTGGCACCACCCACAGTGGGCTGGGCCCTCCCACATCACTCAACAATCAAGAAGGTGCCCCATGGACATGGCCACATGAAGGCAATTCCCCAATTGAGGCTCCCTCAACCCAGGTGTGTCAAGTTGACACTAAAGCTATCCAGCATACTACCCCAGTACCTACAAGACAGTATATGCTCAGTAGCACTACATCAATGCATCACTTCCCACGGGAACACTAGTTCTGACTGAGTTTCCACTTGTGAGCTTTAGTAGCATATGCCTTGCATAAAATTCAACCACTTTTTTCCAGTTTCAGATGATTACTGTTTAACTTCTGTCTCTTTTAAGTTTGCCTCAGTCTCATCCATGCCACCTGCCTGCCATCTCCTCCCACCTATTTTGTCATTCTAGATTTTGTTTTGTCGTTGTTTTTTGAGACAAGGTCTCACTCTGGAGCCCAGGCTGGCTTGGAACTCACTCTGTAGCCCAGGCTAGCCTCAAACTTGTGGCAATTCTCCTACCTCAGCCTCCCTAGTGCTGGGGATCACAGGCATGAACCACAACACCTAGCTAATTCTAGATTCTTTCCAGTACCAGGCTTATTTTTCCTCTACCTTATTATCTTCAATAACATGTATAGCGTCAAGGACATGGTCAGTAACTGCAACATAGATGGCAACCACAGAACAACCACAGCCTCAATCTTATCCCCAACTGTTTCCTCTTAAACCTCAGCATTCATGTTTCCTGCTTCCCTGTGCCCAAATGAAGCTGTTCTTGCACTTCAGTGAAACCTCTAAGCCTTCAGCTCCTTGATTTTCTACCACTCTGCTGTCTGGTTCCTCCTACGAGTGAACTCTCAATTGTTTGTTCAACTCCCTGGTCTTTCTGCCACAGGCAGAAAGGACAAATCTTGCTTCACATGTTATTTTCCCAAGTACCATATTAAAAGTTTTCAACCACCACTTTATTACAGCTAAATGCAGATTTGATTATTTAAAATTTAGTATGTTAAAATTTGAAGGAAATCAAGAATACATTAAGTAAAAATCTTTCTATCTTTAACAGAAATATAATGCTAATCAGAGAGTGAGGGAATTTCATGAAGTAAAATTACAACAAGACGCACAATGTAAATTGATGCTACTATCCAATTACCACTTCCTGTGACTATTGGGGAGAAATACTTACATAGATAAGCCCTGAATAGTAGCGATCCTTCAGATTATGTAAAACAGAAGCTTCATTCAAGCATGTCAATTCTGCCATATCCTCCACCTTGGAAAACTTCGGGGGGTTCATCTTCTGAATGTCATCTTTGTTGACCATTGCTTTCTTCCCATTCTCTGCCAACTCCACCATAACTTCATCTCCCCGTTCTTCTTTGATACTAGCTGCCTCAAAACCATGGCGTTCTGATGGAATCCATACCAGTTTTTTAGCTGTCCAATCAGCTTGAGTGGCAGGGTTGTAGATGACAGCCCTGTCCACAAAGAGATACCTTTCTGGATCCTCCAGTCCAGTTCTCTGGGCCATTGTAAACAGAAGGATCCAAGAGTAATTGCTTCTGGGAGAAGAAGAGAGGGGCAAAGTTAGATGCTTAGGAAATGCAAAATAATTTATAAGTTTTACTTTCTGAGAAACTTCAAACAAAACCCTTGGTAAACATAAACATACACTCCCAGTTTAGGAGCTGGAACATTCTACTTCACAGCCATCATACCAAGTTAGTTTCCAAGGTAAATTTCAGGGGTGACCACTAATTATGACTCTGGTTGTCTGTCGATTATTCAAGATTTGTCCTCAGCTACCGAAGGCTGAAAAGCAGGCAGAGGCAAAAAGCAAAGTCTCGGGGTGACCTTTCCCCCTCCACCTCCTTTCACCCTCACCACAAATTAAACAGGGAGTTAAGGGAAAAGAGAAAGAAGAAAAAGAAAAAAAAGATGCCTAATAAAGGGCCATGGAGTGGTACTCGAATTAGTGTGACCACAGGATATAGCTACAAAAACACAAGAGATTACCAGAGAGTCAAGAATCAGGTCCTGCTGGGCGTGGTGGCACATGCCTTTAGTCCCAGCACTTGGGAGGCAGAGGCAGGCGGATCTCTGTGAGTTCGAGGCCAGCCTGGTCTCCATAGCGAATCCAGGCCAGCTAGAGCTACAGAGAGACCCTGTCTCAAAAAGACCAAAAAAAATCAGGTCCAGGACTGCCGATGCAGCCCAGTGGAAGAGCACCTGCCTGGCATGCACAAGGCCCTCAATTCTACCACCATGGGGGTGGGAGGAGAACATGAATGAATGAAGTATAGTATGCCTCTAAGTCCTCCTTCGGACAACAGACTCAAAGTCCTTTTCTTTTTAAAAATTTATTTTTAATTATGGGGGGGGGGATGACACATTTGAGTACAGGTGCCCAAGTAGGCCAGAAGCATCAAATCTCCTAGAGCTAGAGTTCCAGGCAGTTGTGAACTACCTGACATGGGTGCTGGGAACAGAACTTAGGACCTCTGCAGGAGCAGTACATGCTCATAACTGCTGAGCCATCTCTCCAGCTCTTGAAGTCCTTTTTTGTAAATTATCTCAAGTCAGTCCCCCTTATAGCTTCTGTATGGCCCCATGTGGTCTTGATGCTGTACATGCCACAGAAGACAATCTTGACTTGGCTTCAAATGAGCAGTTCAAGCATGCGACAGTATGTGTTTAGATGCATCTCACAACTGCTCCCACTCCTGCATTTCCACAAATCAGCATTTCTTCAGCAAGACTCCTTTCACTGCCCTTACCTCTTGCCTTTAGATAGACTCCAGAGTGTTCATGTGTGGCCTCAAAGCAACCAGTACAGAAAAAATTATTAGTAACCTTTGCCACACTGAGGAAAGGACAGCTCTGTAACTGTTAGAATAGATGGATATAATTGGTTTATTTAGAGCATATTGGCTCATAAGGAGCTTTGAGCTACGTCTGCTCCTATATTTGGGCAATTAGCCTTTTGGCTCAAAAGACATCATTCACCTGTCTGATGTGACTCACCATTCCTTCCTGACAGTATCTTTCTAAAATCTGATACCACATCAAACACTTCTTGCTATTTACTCCAAAGTCCAAGTTATTCCGAATTTCATAGAAACAGTCTCCATGACTTCATCCAAATCAACTCCCAAAACCAAGTACCTACTTTGACTCTATCAAATCCTTTCAACATCTCCCCTTCCCACTGCTTGCCAGAAATGTTGGGGGTTCTTTGTAGGCGAGAAGATCAATACAAGGCTCTCTTTGTATGTTGCACGGGAAAATCATAAAGTCATCCAAAGTTGTAAATAGGTTATTAACCCCGTGTCTATAAATAAATCTCAAGCTTCATGAAACCACTGAAATGGTATAAACCTTGTAGTACACTTAGTGTGTGCATTTGTTTATTATTCTAAGGAGAACACCCATAACTTTCTACAGATTCTCAAAGGGCTATCTATGCCATGAAAAAGATTCATCGCTTGGGGCTAGAGAGATGGCTCAACAGTTAAGAGCACTGGCTGCTCTTGCAGAGGACCTAGGTTCGATTCCCAAAACCCACATGGCAGCTAACAACTATCTGTAACTCCAGTTCCAAGAGATCTGGCACTCTGTTCTGACCTCCGTGGGCATTGCACAACATGGGTGCACCTACCTACATGCAGGCATTACACTCACACATAAAAGTATTTTTTAAAAAGATTCATCGCTGAAAGTGGGTACAAATGCTAGCTCTTTAGCCCCTAGTAATTTATTAGAATCAGACCATTATTTTTCTTCAAAAAAGATTTGTTACAATGCAATGCATTATGAACCCCTATGCTCTAGAGTAGTTGGTTTCAAATTGTAGCAGGCATTAGCAAGCAGCACCAGGAAAGCGTATTAGCATACAGGTTGCTGAACCTTATCCCCAGAGATTTTCATTTGGTAAGTCTGGGGCAAAGCTTGAGAGTCTGTGTTTCTAACAAGTTCTCAGCTGATGCTAATGCTGCTGGTCCTGGACCACTTTTGACAACCACTACTCCACAGTTCTCTCTGGTTACCATGACAAGTCATTGTTACTGCCAGGCACATTGGGGTAGAAGAAGAAATGGAAAGTCAGTATTTAGGACTCAGTCATAGTGCCATTTAAAGAATGTGCTGATGTTTTACAGATCATAGACTTGGATAAAGCAAAACACAAAATAAAATGAACTCCTCTCTCAAAAAACAAAGTATGTGATTCATATTATTAAGACGTCTACAAATAAAGTTGCTAACATGTTTTAGAGTTACATGTGCTTAGGTATCCTCATGAAGAGGGCAATATGGAAAATATCTGTAGGCACATGTACATTCAGAAGTATGGTAGGGACTGGGCTTAGAAAGCTATTAAGTCTTTCCAACTTAAACTGAACACTGGAAAGAAGAGACATATGGGACTCGTTCTAGTGACTTTGGGGGACAAATAATGGGACAGATACTCTACCTTTTGTAAGTATAAAATTTATTAAAAGAAGCCAACTATAACAAAGTAAGTTTCTCTATTATCCGTATCTGGTAATAAACTACATACATGGAACTTAGGAAAGTCCCTTGGTATTGATAGGTATACACATACTAGCTTACCTTGGGTATGGAAATATGTCCAAGTTTAGTAGGTAGCTATAAATTAAAATAACTTAGCGCATCATTTCTAGAGTAGATCTAGGAAAAGTAAATTATGTATTCTTATTTTATCAAATTGGGACATTTGAAATTTATTGGTACATGAGTTCAAGGTGTTGAAGTGCTAATTTAATGTACCAAAAAAAAAAAAAAAAATAGCCAGTCAATTACAAAATTATAATCACAGTAAGCTCCTAGTTTTGTGGGAGAAAGTTAATATACATCTTTTTGGATTTTGAGAGAGCTCTTTTCAAACTCAGTATGTGGGTGTGCCTTGCTTTGAATGCCTGATTTTCCCACTTCCACCTCCCAAGTTGAGATTACAGGTGTGCACCACCATGCCCAACTTCTTCTATTTCCTTAAATGGAATAAATATTCTTTAGGTCTTCATTGAGTAGTACTTTTTCAGGTTTTTCTACAGCTAAACTCTGTGGGGTGGTTATCTGTGCCTTGCTGCCTTACCTTGAGCAGTTAGCCTGGTCCCTCCAGGTACATAGCAGGGGATTCAGATCTGATTGACCTTATATAAATCGTCCCCATCCTTATATTTCACTTAAAACTTCCCACAACCAAAAACTTCTTATTCCTTCCCTCCTGACCCAAATGCCACCCTTTCACACGGTTCTTTTCAGGTCAATCCGGCAATTTAATCCTTTCTTCTCCTAACATTCTGTACTGGCAATCTCCTTGCCCTACCTAGCAATGCACCACAGGGCTTACTTAGCAGGTAGGAAGTGGTCATGACATTCTTGAATTTATAGAATTCATGAGGCCAGTAAAGATGTTTCAGCCAGTTTAATTCTCCACTTCTGCTTGCCAAGTATATTGTGTCTTTTCACTCTGTGGTACATTTGGTATTAGATCTGGTTTGAAACTGGCATTTAACACATACCACTTGCAACTGTTTCGTCTTGCTGAAAGGTTAACACTACAATTTTTAAAACAAATATTCCTGTTATACATTCCTGATTACATCCAGGCACTGTTCTAAATGGATACACATATCAATCTTAATCCTTACAACAGTGGTACAAGGTAACTACTACCATTAATAACTTCATTTTACAGAAATTCTGAGAGAAGACAAAAAACAGGACCAAGGTCACACAGCTAACACGTAGCAGAGCTATGGTGATGGAAGTAGAGTTGAAATCTGTTACCAAATAAAAAATCCTGTCTACCAATAATGGGGTAAAGATTATAGGTTTAGGGGGCTAGAGAGACAGCTCAGCAGTTAAGGGCACTGGCTGTTCTTGCAGAAGATTCGGGTTCAATTCTCAGCACCCAAATGGCACTTAACAACCATCTGTAATTCCAGTTCCAAGGTAACTTGACCACTTCTTCTGACCTCTGTGAGCATTGTACAACATGGTACACTTACATACATGCAGGCAATACACTCATACACATAAAATAAGTAAAATATATTTTTAAAGATTATAGGTTCAACCAATGAGCACACTAGCATAATCTGGCAAAGGCTTTATACTTTAAAAGAAAAATACCTAACATTTAAGAGAAAAGGAATAAATAGTAACCTCTGCAGCAGACAGACATGAAGAGAATCTGGAGGTGTCTAGTGTCATTTGAAATAAATGCCTAATTATAATTAAATCATTTGTCAATGTATGTAGGAATTTGCCTCCTACAGGATCAAAGTTCCCATTCCTTGCACTGGTTATAGACACACATCCCTGGGGCACCCACCTAGGTCATTTTTTACTTCCAATGAAATGCCACCTAGCAAAATTCTCAACTGCTTCCCAGCACCCAAGGTAGGTGTGGACAGAGGAAAACAATAAACTTCAATTTTATGACCAGATTGAATACAGAAAAGGAAACAAAATGATGGTAAGTTATCCACCCTAGGGCATCCTTTAAAACAGATGAACTAAAAGGGAACTGTCCCAAATTTTACAATGCTACCTACCAAGGAGGTCACTGACTTTACAGGGCTGCACAATTTAACTGTCTGTTAATTTCTCAAAACTCTACTTAGTCACAAACACAAAAGGCAAAAGATTGCTATGGATGCCCTGCACCATCTTCCAATTAATATCTCTAAATAGTATCAAAACTTAGATCCCAAATCAGGAATTTAAATTCCTCATATGTAATAGCAACGTTCATAAAATGCTGAAGCATACTGTTTTTCACCCTACAACGTGTCCTTCAAATTTTCCTCCATCTCAGCCTCTATCCAGTCTCTTCTTTGTAATGATTTCCCTAAGGAGCCCAAATACACAGTCAAGGATTCACAGGTCACATCCTTTTGCTGCAAAAGCCTGTGGTATATTGCACAATTACACCATATGCTTTCTCCGGTAAGGGCTGGGAAGAACTGAATTTAAGATGCAGAAGTATGGAGATGCATAAAATGGCCACTTTTCCAGAATCCGAGACAGACAGGGCATACTTAAACACCAAAAGCATGGTACTACAAGAATAGTTGAGACAAGCAGATTGATGAAGGAGATGAAACAATGAATAGATTATAAAGTTTTCCAGAGTGAGATACTATCAAGGATAATTAAACCTCGCCCAAAGCATCCTTAGTTTCAACGTTAAAACAAAAAACAAAAAACAAAAAGCAAAACCAAAGTATTATATTTAGTATTTTATTCAGCAAAAACAGCAGTCTTTGTTCCGTCCGCAGTCTGAATCTACCCCGCCTGCTTTCCCCTACCCCACCCCTACCCACCCCACCCCCTTCCATCCACCGCAGTGATCTTGAAGAGAGCTGCAGAGGCCCCAAGAAGCAGAGATAACGGTCGTAGGCAGAAGGCCATGTTACCCAAACCTCACCAGCCCGCATCAGACTCGCCGAGTGGCCAGCTCCTTCCTAAGGCCCCAGATCCCAGGCAGGCCTGGCTGGGGGCCTCTCGGGTCCCTGGGCCGCATCCGCCCACCACAGGCCCACAAAGCCCCGCCAATGCCAAGGACTCCGAGGCTTCAACTTCCCTCCGACCCAATTCCACTGCGATTTTATGGGATCAGGGTGTGACCCCCAACTGCAAAGGGCAAGGGAGAGAGACTCAGCGGCGAGCTGTTTCCAGATCACTTACACAATAAAGCGATCCAGCGGCGAGGGCTGACCCTCCCCCCCCCACCCGGGCCGCTCCGCCACAGCGCGCCCCGGCTACATTTCCCGCCTAGCTCCCCAAAACAGCCCAGGCCTGGCCCAGCGTCCACCTCCAGGTCCTCGCAGGTCCCGAGCGAGCGCCGCAGGCCGCCCAGCTCCCGCCTTCTTTGCCGGCGCCCGGCTCCGGAGTCCCCTCACCGCCGCGCGCTCTCCGAGCCACGCAGAGCCTCTGCCCTCGGGTCCCTACACCCCACAGACCCGGTGCCCGTCTCCAGAGCCCTCGGAGAATCCCCCTATCGTACCCAAGGAAGCCCGGCTCGGCCTAACCCACCGTGCAGCCCACCCAGGGGCCCTTCCTTCGCGCGCTCCCCGCCACTGAGATCACATCCCAGGACCCGGTGCTCTCTTGGGAGGAAGACATAGACCCGCGGGGCGCCCCGGGCCTCCCCCTGGGGCACTCACCTTCCAACCCCAAGCGTCCAGGGATCCAATGCAAAGAGGACCTGGTCCCCCATCCCCACCCCAGATCTCCATCCTCAGAGCCCCCAGGGTCGTCCTCCCGCACACCAGGGCCCCATCCCTGCAGGGGTCTCGCTCGCAAGGACCTCATTCTCCGCCCCTCCAGGTCCCTCCATCTCTACTCACAGGGGTCCCGTCACCTCCCCAAGCCCTGCAGGTCCTCACACACCCTCCTCACCACAGTCCTGTCTTTCCCAGTTCCCGCTTGGGCTACGTCCCTGCGCTCCAGAGTCGCCCCGTCTCACTAGCTCGGGATCTTTCCCTCCTCAACGCCCAACAGTCCCCGCACCCGGGGTTGCAGCCCTCAGACCCCGGGGCAGCAGCATCTCTCACCTTCAGCTGAAGATGGTAGCGCCGGCGCACGTCCCCAATAGCGACCACAGATCCAGCGTCTCAGTCCCAAATCCACCGCTGCCTCCGCCGGGCTCCTTTAGCACTGCCGCTCGCGCCTGCCCCACCCACTCCCACCCTCATTGGGCCAGCTCCACGCCCATCACCGCCGCCCCCAGACCCACTGGTCGGTTTGCGCGCCCATCTCCCAGGGAAGACGTTAGCAACCAGAACGAAGCTACCTTCCCAAGTCCTGCTCCCTCCACCCACCTGGAATGATGCTCATTGGCTCCCGCTTCCGGCCCAGGGTCTCAGGACCTCGCTCTCATAGGCTGACGCCCACGTCAGTCAGAGGCTCCGGGAGGTGCGGCCGAGGCAGTGGCGGGTGATTGGCTAGCTCGGGGGGAGATGGACAGCTGAGGCGAACTGTGCGCCCAGCGATCCCGCGAGGTAGCGGGTGCGGACCCTGCGTGGCTGTGGGACGCTGGGGCAGGTGTGCTGCAGCGGAAAGCCCTCGGCTCCCGCTGGTCGCGCCTCGCCTGAGCGTCAGGCCGCCACTGTCGCGCATTCGAGCGCTCGGCAGCCCCTCGGCTTGCCGCAGCCAAGGTGTCCCCCCGAGGGACACGCTTCCACCGCGGAGTCCGTCGCGGGCCCAGCGCACTGCCTGCAGGGGCGGGGCGGGCGCGCGGTCCTGAGGCCTGACGTCACCCTCGGGCTTCGGTGGGTGGGGGTGGCGGCTTTGTCGCTCACCTGCAGTGGGGGAGGGGTGTCGCTCGAGCCACGCGCCGGGGCCCGGAGTGACCAGGCTGCAGTCAACTAGGAACACGGTCGCGACCCGGGTCTCCAGACTGAAGCTGCTGCCGGGCGCCAGCCGGACACCTTCTCCTGGCCTGCCGCAGTTGGATGTTTTGCGAGAGGCTAGAACTGCTTTGCCCAGCGTCTAGGGAGGACTGTGATTCCAGAAAAATGAGAAGCAAACGGGCCTTGCAGAGAAGATGCGGAAGCGACTTAATTAGTTCGTTCATTCATTAGAGTTCCTTACCTTGGAGGGGCTGGGTCGGATTGCTGGATTCCTGAGGTGGTGTCATATCTCCTAGAGCCAAAGAGCTAGCTAGCTGTTCAAGGGCAGTAGAGAATGCATGGGGGCTCCAAGATAAGGAAACTGGAAAAGTGAAGCTAAATATTTAGTGAAATACCTGCAGAGTCTAGTCAACTCTTATTCTCTGTGTCTGAGTATGATAGTCTTAAATCGCAAGAACAAAAATGACTTACTTGTTACCTGTGAAAAAACAAAGATCAAAATCTTCCAAAATATTGGATATGTGAATGTCCTAATACATACCTTCTAAGTGCCTGGGAAACTTCTAGTCTGATTTTTTTTCTTTTTTTAATGAATAAAACGAAAACAAGGCAGGAAGTGATAAGGAAGGGTTGGTGGAATTCAGAGAAAGCTCCAAGGCAGCTGGGTGCCTTCCTGGGGAAGTCGGGATCCTTTGTCCTTTGTCCTGGTGCATCTGATCTTCACCCCCACCTGCCGGCAGGGGTGGCTACCCCTTGTCCGGGTGTCTTGTGAACTGGTTCTTTGAAGAGTTATATCCTTAGTGACAGAAGTCTACACAGGGAGCATATGTTAACTGTACAAAATACATGAATGATATTCCTCTCCTAAATTTTTCAATGTTTAGAGGAGACCTAGGCTTTGTGACCCAGTGAAGTAATTTCTAAGTGCAGTATACCATGGTTAGAGCGTCCATACAAATAGCGCTGGTAAGCCATCAGTTCTCTGGTTTCTCATAATTTTAAAAAACGTCCTCAATTTTAAAACAAAACCATCAGGATAAAAGAGCAAGAAGTTCACCAGAATTAAAATTCACAAAGTCTTGATGAGAACTCAGTCACAAACTGTTCTCAAGTATATTTCTAGGTCAGGGATCTCTCCCAAATTTTCATCTGCCAGAGATCTCCCATCCAAGTACTTATCAAGCCTGTTCCCACTTAGCTTCGGAGATCAAACCAGATCTAGTGTGATCAGGATCAGGATCAGATGTTCATAGATGTCTGCTGTATATCTCTGCCTGGATAGGAAGGAAATGACCAAAGTAGCAGGTGCAGAACTATCTTCTTTCTATCCCTTCTTCAACCCAGAACTCAAGCTTTCTTCTCAAGTCCCTTGATTGGTAATGAAACATCTTGAAACCTCTTTGCTTCCTTCTCCCTTGATCTTCACATCTAGCCCCCAATCTACATAACACATCCCAGACAGACTCCTTTAGCTCCAGAACCTTCCTCAAATTTACTAAGGAAAACAGAATTTATAATCTGATTTTGAATCCGGTTGTCACTGCCTAGGTGTTTAATCTGTGACAAATTACTTCATCTCTTAAAAAGACAATACAAATATGTACGATTCATTCAGCAGATATAGAATTGATGGTTTACTGAATAAAAGTAATGTGACATTTGATAGAATGTGTAACTTTCTTTTTCTGCGCTCCTAAATTTAACATTATGAATAGATTTAAAATAACCTTTTCCTAATGTATAGTTTGACTACAAAGAGAAATCTTTCTCACCTTTCTCCTTAGTGATTTTTGCTGATAAATATAGGCCGCTTCTACTCCCTAAAGCAAAAGTTTACAGACCGTTTTGTTTTGCAGGGTCTAGGTCAGAAATCCAAACTCATTCCCTCAGGGCAGTTCCAGTATTTGAGCTTGTTGGTTTCATCTGTACAGAACTGATAGGCAGCATTTTTTTTATTATTTGAATGAATTCTAGCATTTACAAATTAAAAACTATCCAACACCATTAGTTGTTAGGGAAATGTGAATTGAAATCATAATAAGATCCTACTTCATACCCACAAGAATGACTATAATCAAAAGAGGGGTAATAGCAAACATTAGTGAGGATGTGGAGAAATGGGAACTTGGAGTTATTACTGGTAAGAATGCAAAATGGTGCAGCCACTTTGGAAAACAGGTCATTTCTTCAAAAGCTAAACATAGTGTGTGCTTTTGATAAAAAGATGTTAAATATAAATCTACCATACAATCTCACAATTCTACCTGTGGGTATCTACAAAGGAAAAAAGAAAGAAGAAAATCCTATATGAATACAAAGACTTGCACAGAAACATTCATGCACCATCATTTATAGTAGCCAGAGACAGAAACAACCTAAATGTTCATCAACTGATGAACAGATAAACAAAAGTGGTAGGTCCTTATACTAGAATACCACACAGCAATGAAAAGAAAGAAACAATGGATGCATACAACATGGATGAACCTTGAAAACCTTATGCTCATTTGAAAATAGCCAGACACAAGGGTGTGCATACTGAATCATCCCATCTACATGAAATGCCCATAAAAGGCAAAGTTAGAGAGCAAAAGTAGGATAGTACTTGCTGGGGTGACATATGGGGTCAGGGAGGAGGGACAACACAGGAATCAACTAAATGTACAGGAGAGACTAATTTGGGTAATGAAAATGCTCTAAAAGTGACTTGTGATGGTTGCACAACTTGGTAAGTGTACTGAAAAAAATCATAAATTTTACACACTGAATTATGTAAGTATGTAAATATACCTCAATAAAGTTATTTTTAAAAATAAAGAAAAAAGAACTAGCACATGAAAACCCAGATCCCCAGATTTCCTTTAAAAATTGGAAGATCTGGAAATCCAGCAGCCATTTGTTGGTGCCATGGCTGTTGCTCATTTTTAGACAAACATAGACTCCAAAAGATGCTGGGTCATCTCCATTCCCAGTAGAATCTGATTTTTATTGAAGTTCTTTGATCTTTATTGTTGTCGTTGCTGTTTTTGTTTGTTTGTTTTCTTCTTTTCAAGTGTTGGAATCAAATCCAGGGCCTTGAATATGCTAGTAAGTGCCCTTCCACCGAGCTACATCCACCTGAGCCGTCATAGGCATTAATTAGAGTTTTCAGGCCTGGGATTCTTGTTGGGTGGAGACAGAGGACTCATGTCAAATCATGCCAGAGAGATGAGAAGGATATTTTTGAGTTGAATTGTTTCTGTGATGTAGTGAAGAGTCTGTAAGAAGTATAAACAAGTCCGTCCTATGTAATTCATGGCTATGATGAGACCCTGTGGCATGGACTACTATGATGTCCATTTCTTAGACTAACCAGTGGAAAAGAGCAGTGTTGAAGGAGTATTTTACAACATAAAGGAGAGCTGGACATGGTGGCCCACACCTTTAATCCCAACATTTAGGAGGCAGACCCCAGCCTGTTCTACTTAGGGAGTCCCATACCAGCTGGGGCTACAGGGAAATTTGGTCTCAAAATAAATAAATATAAAAGAAAAGCAAAAAAGAGAGAGAAAAATAAGAGTAATATCAAAACAGAAAACTCCACTGAGCTAAGAAAAAGAAACTTCCAGAATTTTCTTGGGATCTTTAAGTTCCAAAGTTCTGAGAAAACCCAGAAAAAGATTCCTGAAAATTACCAATTTCACATTTCCCTTCAACCATGTAGAATTTGGCTAAGCCAGATTTTATTTGATTAGAAAAATTGGAGCTGAGTTCATGGTAAAGCATATTTTTAGCATACATGAGACCCTGGCTTCAACACTCACCACTCAAAAATAAATAAGAAAGGCCGGGCGTAGTGGCGCATGCCTTTAGTCCCAGCACTCGGGAGGCAGAGGCAGGTGGATCGCTGTGAGTTCAAGGCCAGCCTGGTCTACTTAGTGAGTTCAGGTCAGCTGGGACTACAGGGAGACGCTGTCTCAAAACAAACAAACAAACAAAAAAAAGCAAAACAAAAAAGACAATAAATAAGAAGACCTGATAATCCTTGACTTCATGTATTAATGCAAGCTGCACCCATTGAGAAATGCTTACTAAGTATCTTTTGTGTCTAGGATTTGTGCCTGGCGCTAAAGAGATGACAATAATGACAGGCATGGATCCTGTCCTCAAGGGGCTTGTAAGCTACTGGGAGATATAAACAAACATAATTGTAACAGAAGAGTGCTTTATCTTTTTTATGTTGTTTTTTTGGGGGGGGGGTCTTTATCTTGAATACATGGAAACCTACACAGTTTTGGGATTCCTCAAAATTTATTGTGTGCACTTTTTCCTGGAGAGCTCTACAGCTTTTAAAAGCAGGTTCC